TTTTAAAAACCAGGGCCTGCTGAAGATAAAGAAGAAACAGCACCTCCTCCCTCGCATTCCACATGAAGAAGCAAATTGGACTAGCAGCTGGACTTTTGTTCCATGCTGGCACCTCTATCACACCTGAGGGCAGCCAGCAGCCTAGTTTTGGGAATGCAGAACAGGTTGTGTGACACATGTAGCTCCATCCTTCATGGGAAGAGGAATCAAACACCTGAGTCTCTTTACCTATCCAAGAAGGCTAATTCAGTTATGTTGGCTATGATTTTTTAAAACTTACTTGTGTGTGTTTCAAGCTTTTAAACCTATATCTACTTGATGTTAGTTCAGGATTTAGGAAGATAATTCAGTCAAGCCCTCCATGTCCACAGATTCCTTATCCGTGGATTCAACTATCTACGACTTGAAAACATTCAAAAAATATATAAATTCCAAAAAGAAAACCTTGATTTTGCCATTTTATATAAGGGACACCACTTTACTACATCACTGTATTTAATGGGACTTGAGCATCCACGGATTTTGGTATCCACAGGGGGTTATGGGACTAAATCCCAGTGTATACCAAGGGCCCACTGTATAAAAAGAAAACATTTAATTGAATAAATTGCATAAGCATGATCTTTTTTATTGGAGACACACCAGTTTTGAGAATCAAAGTGGATGTGTGGGTAGCGTGCCAAATTAGGATAAAGGAGCCAGAGCTCAAGGATCCCTGAGCAGTTACACAACTCTCTCAGACCTGCCTACCTCACAAGGGTGTTGTGCAGATCAGAAAGGTGCAGTACAGAACCATACAAGCCATCTCAGATTCCATAGAGGAAAGACAGGCTACAAAATAAAACATGCCCTTTCTGTTCTGTGTGCTACATAGCAGTGTTAATCTGTGGATGGAATGTTTATATTTCATACTTGACATACAAAATAAAATATATTCCTATTTTCAAATTTGTGCTCCTTAACTGCATAAGTATGTATGTCATTATGGCAAGAACTGAAATGATAGGTTCACATTTTGTAGGGCTATGGATATACAGTATTACACACCAGGAGACTGCTATAACTGTCATGGTTTCATCCAAAGAATTCTGAGGATTTTCATTTGTGGACAGTAGTAAGAATTCTCTGAGGAAGAATGAAAGACCTCACCAAAAGTCATTCCCTGAAAAGAGGGAATAACTATGAAGCTAGTGTACAGCATGCTTCATCAGTGAGTCTGTTTTTTCACAATGCTGTCAAGTTACACATCCAATGTTAACATTACCCATGCTATTTTGTCGAGCTTCTCTGTTCTCAGAAATGTTGTCCTGGAAGAGAACAATGGGGGGGGGGACTATCCAGCAAGATTTTCCCAAGTTATTGAGTCCAGCCAGTCTTGCAGGAAGGATTCCCAGCTTTCGCACACTGGCCTGGAGTCTCAGTGAACTACTACTATGCTTCTTCGCACCTCCCCAGGCAAGGAGAAAAATTTTTAGGATGAATAAGATTGCTAAAAGAAGAAACCTGATTTTTGTGATGAGGTGGGTTTAAACTAACCTCTACTCATTCCCAGTTGGTATCAGGACTCTGCCAACAAATAACCAGGAGCTATACACTATATTGCAGAGGAAAGAACTGGCAAATGAGTAGTCCTTGCCTAAGAAAACCCTACGAAATTCATGAGATCACTGTAAGCCAATAGGCAACATGAAAACACACATTGGACCTTATCCCATGGGGCCAAAAGCAGCAAGAATCCACTAAGAATCAGGCGCTATAGCGCTATAGTGTTCCGTGTGATTACACGACGTCGCTCAGAATCCGCTAAGAATCAGGCGCTATAGCGCTATAGTTTTCCGTGTGATTACACGACGTCGCTCAGAATCCGCTAAGAATCAGGCGCTATCGCGCTATAGTTTTCCGTGTGATTACACGACGTCGCTCAGAATCCAGCAAGAAACCGCTCGGAATGCAACATCAATCGCATTCTTTTGAATGTCGGTTTCAGCAGGCATTGCAATAGCGCGAGCTTATCCATAGCGCTATTATAGCGCTAGCGCCATATTTATACTAGCGCTATAGTACTGCAATGATGCTCATATCGCTTTCTTGCCACTTTTGAGAGCAGCGTGGGATAAGGTCCATAGAGAGAAACACACACACACACACACACACATATATCAGGGCTCAGTGCAAAGATGTTTATTTGTATTGTGTTTATGCAACAGTAGTGCACCAAAAAGCCATCAGTTGAGGAGAAAGGACTTTAATCCACATTGTCCTCATGCCCATTTCCTCAATCTGATGACCTGGAAGCAGTTCCATCCTGCCTCACAGGGGGCTTTTTCCCTGGTCTCAGGTTTTGATCCTAAAATCTCAATGCTGCTGGTGTGGCAACCTATTTGCAAGAGTTTCAATATCCCTGCTCTCAAAACAGGATGAGGTGTTTACATATACAAAAAAAGATGCCCACTCTGAGAAATATTAGGTATTCTCTCCAACCATCCTGAATTTACAGGGATAATTCTGATGTCATACTACTTTTTCAACTGCTTTTGAAACATTCTGTCTTAATTCTCATCTTACTTCCATTGTTGAAAACTGGGTTTGAAGGGCAAAAATCAGTTGGACTCCATTAACTCAGCATGGAGGGGGAAGATTCTTGCCCTTCCCAGTAGGCTCATGTAAAAGTAAACTGCTGTAGCCTCTCCTAGATTGTGTGGTTTTCTTCATTAATAACTTTTGCCACATTACCAAACTCTGATGTTGCTTGGCCATACATGTCCTGGTTATCATCTGTGAGATATTAGAGGGTATGCAATAATAGTTTCGCTGCTTCATTAACCCTTGAGAGAAATTTTGGGGCTTTCACACATAATCATTTTGCCCTCTATAAAATATTCCCAAAAGTCTCTTTGGTGGCAATACAGTATATACCTTTAAAAAGGAATAGAAGGATTCAGAGATGGAATTCTTGTTGCTGGAAAAAGAAATTCATAAGCTGCTCAAAAAGCAGATGATATGTAGCCCAGCATAAATTAGACTGACTGCTTAACCTTGGGTCTGAAATTCAATTCAGGACTTTTTCTTCATCTTATTTCATGTTCTTGTTAATCCTGTCCTGCTGAAGATAGCTGGATATCTTCAAGGAGAAGGTAGAAGGACTCGTCAAGATTGATGCTCTAGACTGACAGAGATAGAGGTTTAGTTAAGAGATGGATTTTTGATAATTACTCAGCTGTGAAATCACTTTCTTCACCAGAAAGTCTGGCCTCCCTTTAGGCCTTGATATGGTCTGGCATAGATTTAGGTACACACTGTCTCTTTTAAATCACTCAGAAGTCAAAGGAAGAAATTGCAATGTCGGACTCATACCAGTATATCTGCATTGTATGACAGACAGATTTGCAAACACAATTGCTTATGAAAGATGGCATGGTTAAGGTTAAAATACAATGTCAAGCAAATGGGCTGTGGAGCAGGGAAAGGGAATTGAGATACGGGGTAGGGTGGGGGAAACACCATTCAGCAAGACAAGCACTATAAACAAACAAAACCCAGAAGACATCTAGTTACATAATAAAATCAAGATTAGCCCTTCTATAGGTTAGCACTAGGTGGTGGAGAGAATGTTAACATCCTGGCCCCTCAGGACTTTACCCAGAATTATCTTCTTTGATTTCAAAAATTCTCAAGGATAGAGAACCTTTAGTCGATGCTGCCAGGGGGGTTCCTACAAGCTATTTTTGTTGTTGTTATTTCAGATAAGGGATTAAAAGTTTTTAGACTTCAATTATTTTGCACAGAACACAGCTGTGTTTTGCAGGCATGAAAGCTGTTGTGATGAACTTGCCTATTTCCCAGTGACCATCCACAGAATTTGTCCATTTTGGTATGATTCCTGAGAAAATGTCCAAATCGGTAAGAATTAATACCTAGACCCATACATTTTGCTCTAGTTTCACTTAATTCTTGTCCCCAAGAAAGTTCCTAAATTGGACTTCAGTCATCAGGCTAAAAAGACTTCGCTATATTAGGGCTTTAAAGGTGACGTTTTTAAAGGTAAATGAGAAAAGTATGGGCAATATTCATCCCACTTACTCTGTAAACAGCCTCTTGGTTTCTACTGTGCTGTGGCTCTAGAAGTAAATGCAATTAACTAATTTTGTATAAGTGTTTGTTCTTTCACAATAATTTACAATGCTCCCCATTACAAAAGATTTCCTGTTAGTAACCTGCAATCAATCTGATCTGTTTATTAGGTTGTGTACAGTAGTTGCTTGCCTCCATTTGATAATGTATGTCTGTATTGTAGCCATTCTGTTCTGTTGTTAATGGTATTTCCTGTAGACTATTTCGCAAATAGCTAAACTAATTCCTTCCTTCCTTCTAAAGAAGAGCATTTCAGTAGCCAAGAGGCAATGGATGTAAAACTGAAATAAATCCTTAACTAATAAGCAATGGGGGCAATGGACACTGTGCAGCATTTCCCGTTATGGTTCTCCCACTAGATTTTTCCACAAGTTAATGTGATAGTAACTTTCAGTTCATCATATGTAGCTTTCACATTCTCAGGAGGTGTATCTGATAGGTTTTGGTTTCAGCAGAAACTAGCAGACTGATCTAGTTTTAAAATCTTGGATAGAGAAATTACTCAGTATAGATGGGGTGAATTCCATGCCTACGCGAACAAGACAAACTCCGTACCTGTCCATCATGTTGTTCATGGTATTTTCTCTTTCTTTCTTGAAACTCAAAATATTAGCATTCGGTTCATTCAGCTATTAAACTTTTGAGGTAGAATACCTTATACTCCGCTCCTGTGTTTTCATAAATAGAAGCTGGCCATTGTTATTTGGTGCCAGAATACATTGCTAGGAGTAAACTGATATCTACTTATTGCAGTACCAGTGATTCATACAATATGAAATCTTTATCATGGAACAAAGTCTAACTGCAGACTTCAGAGCCAACTGATTTGGCCTAAGTTTCTTCCCATCTCCACGTTTTTGTACCACCTAGCCTTTGTTGTATAGTGGTTTGAGTGTTGGACTATGACTCTGGAGACCAGGGTTCAAATGTCTGCTCAGCCATGGAAATCCATTGGGTGACCTTGGGCAAGTCACATTTTCCCAGCCTCATGGGAAGCCAAATCCACTCTGAACAAATTCTGCCAAGAAAACTATGAAACTACTTAAAGGCACACAACAACAACAAAGCCAGATGAAAAGTTCTGATGAACTCATAAACTTGCACAGTTTAGGAGATTTTTCTCGTTTGTCCTAGGAGTTTATTGCACTCACTTTTGTTAACGATCTGGAGATGGGCTGGGGACATGGGTGACCAAGGGAAAATGAGCTGTGCTGATCTGGCCAATTTTGCAAGGATGGAAGCTTTCCACACAGCTCAGGGATGGGTTGTGGTTGAGCAACGGCATGGGGATGGCTTGCCGATTGTTTCGAGTGCAATAAAATCCATTTTCCCTCTGTCACACATGTTCATGTGCATCCCCATCCTGTGCCTGGATTGTTAACAAAAATGAGTGCAATAAACTCCCTAATAAATATTAAACCCATGAGATAAACGTACTTTTATCAAAAACGTGTATTTTCCAATTGCAGATTTCAGTTTGTTTGTTTTTTTTTTTTTAAAAATACACCAATTCTGGACTAATACAGGTATTGTTATTCAGTCATTGCATCTGGACACAACAGGTTTGCATTACCCTGGATTTTTGTCCTGATCAGAGATAACTGGATAGAAGGTAGGTGGGTTGTTGTTGTTCTTATTGTTGTGTGTCTTCAAGTCATTTGCAACTTATGGATACCCTAAGGTGATCCTCTCATGGGCTTTTCATCTCCATTGGGTGCATGTCTTTTTAAAAGCTAATGGTTCTTAATTAGCTATTGAAAACTTAGCCAACCCTAGATATTTTGCATTGCTGAGAAAATCCATTCCATGTGTACAACTACTTTGAAGATTACTCCTAAGCTCATGGGGGACAGCAAGGTTGGAAGGGGTGGTTTATGATGTTCCACCTTGCTAATCAAAAATCTTCAAGTCCCGGCTCCATTAAGACATTAATTTCAGGTCAGGCACAATTTGTCTGAGGCTGCTTCCAGATGAAATCAAAATATAACACAAGCAGCAAGGCAATTCAGGCTTAAATGCACAGTGTATTGCCCCATTTCAACTTATCACCTTCTTCAGAAGACATAAATATACCTGGGAAATGTCACTCACCAGTTCTTCCTCCCCTAGCCCATCTGCCACTCCTGCTGATGCTGTGACAGCTTCTAACTCATCACTGGAAAGTACAACCCAACCCAAAATACAAGTAACAGTGATATCTTTATCAGGTCAACCAAGGTACAAAATACAACACACTAGCTTTCAAAGCGCACTGGTTTCTTCATCAGGCACAGATGGTAAAAATCATTTAGAGGGAAAATGTGATGGTATATGACTTTTATGTTCGGTTGTGAAAGCTGGACAGTGAAGAAAGCTGGCAAGAAAATCAAGTCATTTAAATTGTGGTGCTGGAAGAGAGTGCTACAGATACTCATTTGACTTTGAAAACACAAAACCATGATCTCCATGTAAGTTAGATTTAGATGAGAGCTGGTATTTTTAGCACACTAACTACTCTAGCTTCATACATAGGCAAAGATTTTGAACCAAGATTGGAATCCGTTATTCTCAGAACTTTAAAAGTTCCCTTTAAAATTTTGTTTGTTATGTAACTCAATACAAAACCTGAGGCTCACTATATATATTTTTTTAAAAATAGCTCCTTTACTACTTGTTTGCTTATTTAGTTGTCACCCTTTCTTCCAGAATACTAAAAACAAATATAATATAGATTTAAAAGTTCAACAGAAACATGTATAACATTAAAAAGAATTTACAACATCCATCACAACAATAACAAGACAAAAAGTAGTATTGTGCACTATTAAAAACACTGCCCAGTATTTTGCATCAGCTACTTAAGTGTATTTCAGTGTATTCACAATCACTATTTAGTCACAATTGTGACATTATTGCCACGAATGTAACTTCCTCCCCAACTGCTAAACAGCGCACCATATAGGTAGAACTCCATAAAGCTGTATGGAGAGAAGGAGGTCCAGTCTGATGGCAACTGGAACACGGGGGGGATGATGTTTTTATCAGGTTTGGCAGGGTCAAGCCAGGAAGTTAAGTATAGCTAGCTAAGTAGCTGATATAGACCACAGTACTTGCTATTGTCTTTAAAACAGCCAGTTCCCAAAAGTATATCAGAAGAAAAAATGAGGAGACTATTCCAGCCTCCTAGAAAATGCATTCCAGGTCCTAGGAGCAAACACTAAGAAGTTCCTCTCTTACATCCCCACCAGACATATTTATGAAGGTGGTGGGACCAGGAGAAAGTCCCCTCCCAAAGATTCAGAGGCCAGGCAGTTTCATGTGGAAGAACAAGTCCTACAAATAGCTGGAATGTATTTTCCTCCATTATTTTTCCATAAATTATTTTTGGTTCCTTTTTTAAAGGTCATCTTTTTTTCTTTAAAGTAAATGGCCTAAAATTGGGGGGGAAGAAGACGCAAAATGTCCCTAAAGCATTCCCCTCACAATGGCCAAAAGTAACAAGTAAACATTACCTGGTACACAAATAACATTGCCACCTGTTAATGTTATTTTGAAAAGCAGTAGTTTTTAGACACTTATTGCCTCCCCAAAGTAACACATGTGGCATTACAGTAATTTCAATCGAGAGCTTTTTTATTGTAACTGTACTAGTTTACAGTAACATCATATAATCAACCGAACTATTGTACATAGGCCATGAGATTAACTAGGGCCTGGAAGATCATAATCTTAGATCTTCTATCCCACACTGCATGTTTACATCTTTCACACTACAAATTACTTCTTTCAACATATGTGAGTATTTGACTTTGATTACTTTAACAAATCAGAAACAGTTCAGGGCACACCTATACCCATCGTTTTTCAAGTGCCATGAACAATTTATGCAGTCCATACATCATTCCAGGTCCTGTATTGATTAATGCTCTGGATTTTAGACAGGCACTAACCTTTGTATGATGCCCCTTATGTCTGTTTATTTGTGTAGATGTTCCATATCAATCCTAATCTAGAGCATTACTCAGATGCTCTTATTTCACTACTGGGTGTTGGGAGTTGTTGTTTTCTTAAAATAAGGATAAATAGATTATTTAAAATTTGAGAACTGGGGAAGATATAAGCTAAGATTTAATTCAATTTTTAAAGGGTGTGTATTTATAGTATGGTATAAGAGAAAAACTCTGATTGTAAGGTGAACATAGTCTGAATATGATATATTGTATTTGGTGGTTAAAATAAAAGAATATGGGAGGATACATATGTAAATTTCCACTGTTTTCCCAGTAAATCCACAGTTTCCCCTACCAATACACACTTCATGTGATGTAGTGGTTTGACTATGATTCTGGAGACCAGGGTTTGATTCGTAGCTTGGCCATAGAAACCCACTGGGTGACCTTGGGCAAGTCACATGCTCTCAGCCTCTAACGGGAGGCAATGACAAACCTCCTCTGAATAAATCTTGCCAAGAAAACCCTGTGATAGGGTAATCATACATTGGAAACAACTTGAAAGCACACAGCAGCAGCAACAACAACAACAACTGATTTATTTCCTTCTGGCCACAGTTTTCTCTGACACTACACAGCATCCATTAATGACAAATTCTCTTTCAGTCTCATGCACACTGGAAAGGCATTAGCACAGTGGTCCCCAAGCACATGGGTATGTTATGTCATTTGCACATCAGTCATCGTTTTTTTGTTGTTTTTTTTTAAATACAGCAACACACAACCTTCCCAAAGACAACAGATCCAAGATTACAAGCCACATGTAGAAAGGAAATACGCAAGCAATGGTAGATACACAGTGTATGCCCATTGGCCACATTTAGAAAAGTTATTTGTTTTGGACCAGAACACCTAGTGACCATGCTGGCTGATGGAAGACTCTGGGAACTATAGTCCCCAGGCAAAACCTCCAAGGTCTACCTTAGATGAACTGTCATGAAATAATGTACAAGACTGCTAATACATACACATCTTTGTTAACAGACAACTCTAACTTTGCTGATGAATGCAGCTATACTATTTGTGATTTTTAATACTACAACCCCTCCCATTCCACATGTTGTCAGCAATGGTTTGTGTGATTTTGCATAAGGCTGCCCAGTTTCTACACATGTCTTGAGTGATGTGTTGCTTGATCTTCGAGGAAAAATCAGGTTGCTGAGAAAAATGGGAAGATGTGAGTCTGGCTCTCCCTCCCACAGTGATCTCAGGCTTTCTTCCCCCTTCTGCTTTCTGAGATGCAAGCCTGGTAGATGGTAAATGGCTTTGCCATAGATTCAAAGAATCATAGAATCATGGGTTGGAAGAGACTCTATGGGCCACCCAATTCAACCTCCTGATGCACAGGAACACACAATAAAAGCAGTCCCAACAGATGGCCATCCAGCCTCTGTTTAAAAATCTCCAGACTCCACCACTTTCCGAGGCAGCATATTCTACTGCTGAACAGCTCTTACTGTCAGGAAGTTCCTTCTAATGTGTAAGTGGAATCTCTTTTCTTGTAATTTAAATCCATTGCTCCATGTCCTAGTCTCTGATGCAGCTGAAAACAAGATTGCTCCATCTTCAATATGACATCCCTTCAAATATTTAAACATTGCTATCATGTCACCTCTTAACCTTCACTTCCCCAAGTTAAACAGACCCAGCTCCCTAAGTCACTTTTCGTAGGGCGTAGTTTCCAAGCCTTTCACCATTTTGTCACCCCCTCTAACATGCTCCAGTTTGTCAATATTCTTCTTGAACTGCGGTGCTCAGACCTGGACACAGTATACTAGGTGAGGTCTGGCCAAAGAAGTAGCAGTATGACTTGGTGAATTTTGGCTCTAGGCAATTTCACAATTGTATTAAAGCTACCTAAATTTGCCATGAAATCTAGAGATGTCTGAAGACATTTTGCTGCCTGAACTGAAGAGGCAAAAGATGCCATACCTTGGCATATGAAGCAAAAA